GATCAGAAATTCATGATCATCCTTGACCACACAGTATGATGAAACTGTCAAAAACAAAATAAGACATGGCCAGCATCAACCTTGACTTGATCTCCAACTTTGTTCCTTCAAATGGACAAAACTTAGCTGAATGCAGCCAGCTTGCAACTACTTGATTGCTGTGGCTCTTAAGTGCTGAACTCCTGACTTCCTGTTACCACTCGCCCTATGGTACTATTTGGTATCAGGTTAATGCCTGAGTTTTGATGGTTTCTTGAGTTTAAAAAAAATTACAAAACTATTACTCTCCTAATTACTCTTCCTTGTATGGCCTTTAGATTAGAAAGCAGGCGTAAGGTTGCAAAAACATTTATTTGCCCCTCACACACACACACACATCTGCACCCATGCACACACATACCAGGAGGCATGAATTTTGCCTGTGAGAAAGCTAATCCTTTCTGCAGTCAGCTTTGTGGTGTCTTTGTCAAGTATTATCCCTTTGAGGAAATAAGGCAACCATTTGACTCCGGTGTTAAAGCTGGAAGAAAAAACCTTCAAGTTCAGTGACTACAATAGAACACAACAATGCGTAGTTGTGATAGCAGGAATATGTTAAAAGGACCACAATGGGCTCTGAAACAGAGTCGAAGATGGCAGGTGTGGTGTGGGAGCTGACACTAGTGCACAGCTTTGCTATTTTGAGTTTTGGGAAGGCAAGGGCTGCAAGTGAGACGAATGGAAACAAGGATGGGTTTGTTTGGTTTTGGGGGGGAGGGTTGGTTTTTTGAGATAGGGTTTCTCTGTATTGTTTTGGAGGCTGTCCTGGAACTTGCCCTGTAAACCAGGCTGGCCTCGAACTCACAGAGATCCACCTGCCTCTGCCTTCTGAGTGCTGGAATTAAAGGCGTGCACCGCCAACGCCCAGCCCCAAGGACAGTTTTAATTTAAGATCCTCAAGTGAGTGTATGCTCACACTGGAAGGACATGGACCTGTGATACACTTGGGATTGCCCATCTTCTAATGACTGTGGACTCATAGCTTGACTACCAAACCTGAGACCAAATGTGTCAATAGTTTTCTGATATCAGAAAATGAACAATCAAATTTGTACCAGAGTAGAGTTTCTATTGCACTCTACATTAGAGTCTGGAGCTTCTAATCCTTAGGGAATAAACGATCTGAGAGACACATCACTATCACACTTCAGATGACTTCAAACTGCAGAACACCAGACCCCTGTAGCGCTGTGATGATTCTTAGCCAGCCCAATACCAGCTGATTTGGTTATACCAATGGAAATGGTCCCATCATCTTTGCCTGTGGTTGGTTAAATAAATGGCACATAGGGACAATACCACCTGCCAAAACGAAAACAAAGACTTAATCCATCAAAGCCCATTGATCTGGGGCAAGTCTCTAAAAGTACTGACCTAGCTTTTGGGCTTCTATGGTCCTGCTTCTGACTAATTGTTCTTGCCAACTGAAGTGTGTCAACCCAGATGTGTGAATGGAGTGTTTTGTTTGGTTTGGTTTGGTTAAAATCTCACCCTGCAAAATGAACAGGACTACACTGGGGTCCTCACTGAGATCCCAAACACCCATTGTAGACTCTGGCCAGATAACAGAGACTTTCTCTGGGCTTAGACCCATGTCTGAATAGAACTTTCTGGTGGATACCACACAACTAAGAGATGTTCATGCAAACCTCCCCAGAAAAGTTAATGCAGAAATATGATTTAAGTGAATCCTACATATATTTTTAATGTGAATTAGAGTCAACTAAAACCTTTCTCTCTAAGAACTAAATGGATCAATCTAAATGGTGACATTCCTTAGAATATTTAAAGTGTCACTAATAAATGTTGTATTCTTTCTTATTTACTCTTTTATGTGTGATCACCGTTGCTGCCCATAGTCTCTGTTCTTGGCTTATGTCCTACTTTTGCTGTGACTCATTTAGTTTAATAAAATCACCCTCATCTACCTACAGAGACAAAATGTGCATATTTTTGGGTAGACCAGTGTTTAATGGAGGATGTAATACCTCCTTCCAATTAAAATAAATGAAGGCTATGACAGGGGCACTTCATAGTTTCTATTATGAGAGGGAATTTGTTCTTCATTCTGCAGGCATGAATACACTTTGTCAATGTTTTGTTTGTTCTGAACCAACCATCAATCTAGCACATTCAAGAAGAATATGTGGACCACAGCTTTGGTGTATGTGGGCCACAGCTTTGGTGTATTTGAGAGAGATGATGATGAAGAAAGAGGACATTGTACTGATAAGGCCAAAAAAAGATACATTCAACATAGCATTGGTTTGTTGCCATGATTTGCACAGGAAAACATTGATGGAGTTTCCTTTCAGCACAAAATCAACACATAGAGATCCTACATTAATTTATTAAACTGTTGGCCTATGACTAGGGCTTACTATTGGCTAGTTTTGTCTTAATTATTAACACATTTCTATAAATCTATGCAATTCCATGTGGTCTTAGCTTATTGGAGAAGGGTCTGGACCTGCTACTCCATCCTCAGTTACAAGATGTCTTCTCACAGCCTCTCTCTGCTTACCTTTCCCAGAATTCTCCTAGTCCCACTTATCTTCCTGCCTCTATTGGCCAAACACCACTTTATTCATCAATCAATAAGAGAAACATATAGAGAGAAGGACATCCTCCATCAGGAAAACATTGCAAGAATTGCTGCAGTCGTTTCTAGAATCCTAAACTCAGGGAGCTCCTGTTTTTCTATCATGCTCTGCACTCTCATCCTAAATTCTCTAGGAGTCTAGCTGTGACAAGATTGGCCTTTCCTGATCCCCTGAGCATGGTGATTTCCCCATGAAGCTAAGGATTACATTTCCCAAGCTTCTTGTGCTGGCTGTAGACATGTGAGTCTTTGTTGAACAGTAGGGCATAAATAAATACTAGGATAGCATTATGAACATGAAATCTCCCCAACAGGCACACCTAGGATGCCAGTCTCTGAGATCAAACTCAAGTTATCAGGTTTGGCAACAAGTGCGTTTACTTGCTCAGCCACCTCACAAACCCTCGGTTTTAAATTCCTTTAACTATGAATCTAAGACCCTGAAAATGAGACCTTGCATCCCCTGATGAAAACGGTGAAACCTCTTCATGTCTTTGTCAAACTTAAGGCTTGCATCAGTGAGAAAAGTTACCTTTTCCCAATATAGATCCTGACCAGATACCAACACAATTTCCATTTGCCATCCACACCTCCCATGGTAAGACGCTTCAGCTATATAAAGGGGACTTACATATATCAAGAGTTTACTCAGGCTCTGTGGGGGGGGGGGAGAGCATGCATGCACACTCATTCAAGGGGGATTTGCACTATGCTTTTCATCAAGAAATAGGTAGAATAGGTGCATAAGATGCTCAAGTACAAATCCAAATATACCTTGTAGTTGTTGTTTTTACTCTTTTGGCTCTTTGAGGGACCTTTGCTCTTGGGGGGGGGGGGGGAACCACTAAGCTCCCAAAGAAATCAAACACATAGAGGCCTATAATTCTTATAAATGCCCAGCCTTAGCTTAGTTAATTTCTAGCCAGCTTTTCTAATCTACCTTTTGCCTCTGGGTTTTTACTTTTGTGTATTTCTTCATAACTTTTCTTTTCTTTTTAAACCATGTCAGGCTGTGTAGCTGGTTGACTGGCCCCTTCTTTTCTCCTTGATCTCTCTTGCTTTTGCTTCCCAGATTTCTTCTTCTATTTATTTACTCCCTTTACCTGCCAGCCCCATCTATCCTTTTTTCTGCCTTGTTATTGGTCATTCAGCTCTTTATTAAACCAATTGGGTATCTTAGCTTCACAGAGTTAAAGGCAACATAAAGGAATGCAACACATCTTTGCATCATTAAACAAATATTCCACAGCATAAACAAATGTAAAACTCTTAAGATAATATTCTACAACAATACCCATACTTTAATTCTGCAGACTTTGTTTACTTAAAATAATTGCTCATTGAGGACTCAATGCAATCTAATAGGAAGAGACTATGTTTGCATTATAGAAACCACCAGGCATCTCTGTGTGGTACTGATTTATCCAACAGACAAGTCTCTTTCAGCCTCCAACCTGACTCTGGTTCAGGAGTTCAGCTCCATAAATGTATCAATCAATCAATCTACCTATCTATCATCAATCTACCTAGCATCTGTATCTATCTAACATCTATCTCCCAATTTATCTATCTCCTATCTATCCTAAAGCCTCATGTCCTGCAGCCTCCAGCAATGCTCATATCTCTCCCTCCTTTGTGGGATATGAATCCTAGGGAATGAATCATTCTGGGACAGTGTGATTTCCTCCAATCATCAGGAAATAGTAACTACTGAAATGATCATAGAAACGTGAAAATAGATGCAGAATGATGAAAACCAAGCAGCAAAAACATTTTCTAAGGAATTTTTATACATGGGTTGAATTGCTGCACGTCAGGCTACCGGTGATTTATCCATATTTTCACAGGCCAAAAAACGACTCAGTGTCAGAATTATCAGATAGACTGTTTTGTCTTTTGACCTGAATTCTGGCATAGCTTTAGAAAATGCATGACCACCTGATTTGTCCCATTCCTGCTTATTTTTCTCCTCAGAATGAGAAGCAGTTTCGCTAACATCCTTTCTTACAAAACCCTCAGATCTCATTAATGCTGGTGACTTATTGGGTTTACAAACCAAGCTATTGTCACTTGAGAATCCAGTCTACCCTGGAATTCTACCCTGGAATAAAACTGCCTTTGTGTCTGTGATTTCTTGGCTTACAGTGCTAACTTCAGAGTGAGAATTTTGTATCTGCCTTTATCTCTGCAGTCCGTTCACCATTGGAAAAAACTCTTTGATCACAAACTCAGTCGCCACCCACAGGCGGAGTAAAACTATCTGAGATTATCAGTTGTACTTTGCGATCAATCTTGAAAGGCAAACTATTAACCGGGTGCTTTGCGGGAGTTAGAATGACTTGACACTTTCCCTTCTAATTGCAAATGAAGCCCTCCTCCCCACCAGCCCTGAACGCTGTGGGTGTGGCTTCTCCCCGGGACTCCTCCCTCTCCTCCCAGAAGGAATCTAAGAAATAAATACTCTTGGGGTTCTTTCCTGCTGTGGAAGCAAAGAGGAGAATTTTCTAGCGAGGTAAGTGCTGGCAGAGTTATTTTTTCCTACAAGTTTGCATAAGCTGCCTTTTAGCTGCTAAGAAAATTACTTTAACTTAAAGTCCTTAGCACAGGAAGGAGTGTTGTATAGTCAAGGCGCTTTCTTGTGGGTGTGCCTAGAGCGCATGGCAGAAGTCCTTCACCCCGTTTGTTTGACAACATTTTTTCCAGAAATGTGAAAAAGGAACAATGCAGAAAATGAGGAAACTTGAGCTCAGTGGACCGAGAAAATTTATTGTCCTATTACATACAGGTCCTTAGATTTCTGTGACTTCCATACAAGCATTGGCTAGAGGTACAGCCTTGTCCTTGCACTGGAGCATCAGGAAGACTGCCAGAGGAACACAGAAAACTTCCAGCCTCTCTGAACACTGCGAAGTTACAGACCTTCAATTACCTCTCAGCAAGCATCAGGCATTGTCCTCTTGCTTTTTACTCCTCATTCAAGCAGTCCCTTCCTTTCCTTCTCATAGAGGGGAGAGGCCAGGGCAGTGCCTTCCATAATGCTTGAGCCTTTTTTTTTAATTAGAAGAAATTTAATTGATTTATTCTTTGATGATTTCATATGCGTGAATAACAAAGCCTGGCGGCACTCACCAATCCCACTTTCCCGTCTTTTTTGGTGTGGTGATCCACTGGGTATAAGCAGACTGTCCTGCGTGGGTGAGCCTGGCCTCTTGAGTCCCTCCTCAGCTAGGACAAGGGGGACACTTAGTTGTGGGCAGGTCGTGTGCTGGCAGTGTAGGTGCTGTGACTTCATGAGGGCCACAGCCTTGCTATGCTCTGAAGGCGGTTATGCATGGCTCTCAGTTATCTGGTTGTTTTTTTTGTTTTGTTTTGTTTTGTTTTGTTTTTCCTGCCTTGAAGGCTTTTTAGCATCGAAAATTTTCCCCCAGGCCTGGAGTTTTCTAAACCCAAGAGATGCTTTCAGTTTCATTTGGGGGCGGGGCTTAGCAAAGGCCTGAGCTCCTAGGATTTAGGAGACGTCAAATAAGCAGTTTTGAACCCCTGCTTGCTTAGTGACTTTCGAAATCAGGGAGCTGGGTAGCCGTTTTCTCCAAACCCTAACCTATACCTTAAAGTACCTCTCCCAGTCTCATTATGAGATAAGAAAGAGCTAGCATTTCACCCTAATCGCTGCCCGTTGAATGGGCCTTTTTTATTAGTCGTTTAAAATTTTTATGGTATTTGCATGTGAGGGGTGCCTGTGACTGTGGGTGGGAGCCCAGACAAAGGAGTCAGATCCCACCAGGCAGGAGTCAGAGGTGTTTTGTGGGATACCTGTCTCATTATGTGGGTTCTGGCATTCAAACTGGGGCCCTCTGCAAGAGCTACAAGAGCTCTGTTGAGCCATCTCTCTGGTTTACACAGCTGCAGTAGTAGGTAGCAGTGCTGCTAGCCTTTAACCCCAGCACAGAGGCAGGAGGATGCCTGAGACTTCCAGGCCAGCCTGCTCAACAAAACTATTTCCAGGACAGCCAGGGCTACATAGAGAAACACTGTTTCAAAAAAAAAAAAAACAAAAAAAACAAAACAACAACAAAAAAAGCCAGGAATTTAGAAAACAAGGGAGGATAATTTGATGGATTGGTGGGGATGTCTGCCGTAATCTGAAAATACAATCCTGTAGTCTGTATTCTCACCCTGAAATGTGTGTCTGCCTGGCAGAATCCAAATGTGGACTTCATGTTGTCTTCACATGAATGTCCAATGTTCAAGTGAGCTTTAAGGCCAGGCACAAAGGAGAAAGTGTTTTTTTCTCTGAAAAAAAAAATGAAATCAAAGCAAAACAATGGATTACAGCCTAGCTAGTCAGGCCGAATTGTTGCCTAGACTGTAGTCAGTTACTTACTCTAGGAATCCTGCATTTCTGTTTCTTCTGTTGTTAGACCACATTGGTGGAGTTGTCAGAACTTGATAGCGGCACCTTTATTTTATTTCGTTAGTATGTGTCTTACCTACAATGTGCGGAAGTGTGGGCACCCATGAGCCACCACACATCTGTGCTCAGGGCACTGCTTTGGGTAGCTGGGTCCTTCCACCACCGTGGGAGCTGAGGCTGGAATGCTGCTCTTCAGGCTTAGGCTTGCAGGCCAAGCAGGGTTACCATCTAAGCAGTGTCAGGGGCCTTCACTCTAGTCTCTTCCTCCCCCTTCCTCTCCCCCTCCCTCTGCTCACCAACTCCCCTGGGTTCTCTTTCTGTCACTTTGCCTTCCTCCTCCCTCGTCTTCCTGCTCCTTCAGTATTAAGGAGCCCAAAGATGAGCAGAATTTAAAGTCTCAAAAGGGCAATAAGATGGACATGTTTGGAATTTTGGAGTGGTGAAAGCAAGAAGACCTAGACTTAGGCAAATTTAAGGGCACTTCAAGCTCTTGTGAAATGCCCCATTCCCAATGCAGCAGAGAATCTGCAAGTTCCCTTTGTTTTTCTGAGTTTAATATTCCCAGGGTTCCCAACAAAAAGAAAAAATGCAACTTAAAAGACAAAACAAAACCAGAACAACCCACTATTTTTGCTCTGTAGGAAACAGCCACTATTATTTTAAAGATTTGTGTGTGTGTGTGTGTGTGTGTGTGTGTGTGTGTGTGTGTGTGTGAATATGTGTATGCATGAGCGGATAAGAGACCAGAAGAGTGTGTTGGATTTTCTAGCCCTGGAGTTATACGTAAGTGATTACTGCCTTGTATGGATGCGGAGAACTAAACTCTGGTCCTCTGGGAGAGTAGCAAGCACTCTCAGTTGACGAGCTGTCTGTCTGGAGACCACCGTTATTTGGATGATTGTGTTTAAACAGCTGAGTAGCAGGTATCGTAGTGAGAACATCACTGTGTTAGCATGACTCTAGCTTACATTGACTTGCTTTGCTCTGGTTTCAGTGTTCTTCCTGGCAAGGAAGCTCTGTAAGAAATGGCTCCCTCTTGAACTAGGGAGCCATGTGCTATTCTGGGCTGTAGAATAAATAATACAGACACTGACAGACTAAAAGGCTATGCTGACTTCCTGGCATCTCCCTAAGTGTGTGTGGGGCGCGGGGGGAGAGGATATTACTTTTGTAAGCTATGAAAACTGAATAATGAGACAAGCAAGAAGAAACTAGTGTGAATGGCAGAACCAGCTTTAAATCTAGTTTCTCAGATCCCTTGCGGCTCACTGTTTAAGGAGACATAAGGGGAAACTAGCAAAACGGAGCAGCCGCTTGCATTTGACCAAGCCGACTCAGCATTGCCTTGAAGTCACTGGCAGCAGAAGAGAAAATGTGACAATGGTCTTATGTACGAAAATTTCACTCTCAAGGAGATCTTGTGAAAAAAGAAATCATAATTATTTGGAGTTGCATAAGTCAACCGGAAATTCAAAGAACCATGGTGCCTGTGGGAGGAACATTGAAATACATGGAGAACACGACGCTTGTAACTACATGTGTGTGAGTGTGCCCATGTGTGTAAGTACTCCTGTGTGAGTGCAGGTGTCCACGGAGTTCGGAAGAGGTTGCTCGATCCCTGGGAACTGGAGTTACAAGCAGCTGTGGGCCAGCTGGTGTGGGCGCTGGGAACCAAACTCGGGTCTTCCTTATGGACATCAAGTGCTCTTACCTATGGCCCCATCTCTCAAGCCTTTGAAGCAGGTTTATTAGACTATGCAAGGGGCAAAGGTAATCTAAGCATGAGAGGCCTGACCTCTGAGAGGTGTGAAAAGTGCTCGGTGATGCTGACCCTGCAGGCAGGAGCCCACCTCCAGAAGGCCTATGCCTTGTTTGCATGCTGGCAGACATTCTTCCCAGCTCCGACAAGCTGAGGCGATGATGAGTCCTGAAGGGAAAACTACAGCCACTTCGGTTCATTGTCTGGACTAGATTTAAGCCTCTTTTTTTTTTTTTTGGTTTTTCTAGACAGAGTTTCTCTGTGTAGTTTTGGAGGCTGTCCTGGCACTGGCTCTGTAGACCAGGCTGGCCTCGAACTCACAGAGATCCGCCTGCCTCTTCCTCCCGAGTACTGGGATTAAAGGTGTGCACCACCAATGTCCCACTGATTTAAGCCTCTTTAGTGAAGGAACTAGATCAGGTGGGCATGGCACTACATAACAGCCATCATCGCTGCATGAGACATAACATATGCTCCATGGGGGTTTATGAGGAAAATCGCTTTGGACTTTTACAAAAAGACTAATAGATTACTTGTAAACTAGAAGTGTGAGTGTCAATGATCCAACAAAGCAACAATCTGAGATTGTGGTTTGCTTTCCTGTATGTACCTCATGCACAGCTTGCCCAAGCCTGATGCTGACCTCCCCTAGTCTTAGTCTGAGATGCTTTTCAATTCTTTATGCTGTTCTCTCTGGGGCAGCTAGGAACAGAGCCATGGTTTTCAACCTGAAGGGAAGTGGCAGAGAGGTGCTGCCCCAAGAGAACAGTGGATAAAGCCTGTAGGCATATTTGCTTGTCATAATTGAGCGTTGGGGAGGCTGCAACATAATACCATAGGTTGCTTCGTATGTATCCTCCAATGATTGACATAGACTCCCAGAACAAAAATTACCCATTCCAGAAAGTCACTAGTGAGGAGGCACTGTGGAAAAGAACAAGCTGTGACCCTCCCATGGCTGGTACCAGGAAGGTGTGTTTCTTTGTGGAACGCCCAGCCACAGGTACATTGCACAGGATCAAAGGAACTCAGAATGCTTACCTTTAACATACATGGCACATTCCAAGATTCCCTATGGCATTAAAACTTGAGTGCTACTTAGAACCAATGGGGTCTTTTTCAACTCACTAATAAATAATGATGTGGAGTTTACAAATCACATGTGTGGGGAAGGGTCAAACGAAGTGCATTTGAATGCCGGGTTTTCCACATCACGGGACCTGTAGAGACGCCTGTGTGTCTTCTAACAGTTGAATGAAGATTAGAATGAGAAACTTACTAGGCACTAAACACACCTGTGGTCATGATCCTTTCAATACAGAGTTACTGTAGCAACTGCTCTCTTCCTACATTGTGAAATAAAACTCAATGTAGGTGTGGGAAATCGAGTTGCAATAGAAAAAGTGGGGAGAATAGGGGTCTGGTTACAGCCAGAGTGAAGCTGAGCTACGACCTCCTGATCATAGCAACACAGGAGCCAAAGAGCTAGGGAAGAACTTTGTTCTGGCACCTTCCCCTTGCCAGTGCTGTCTCCAGTTTTCAACGTTTGCCAGGTGCCCAGCCCTCCTCTCCAATAGAATTAAGGCTGCTTTCCTTATATTCTCCAAGTGAAGGCGCGGGAGTGGCCGGGTGCAGTTTTAGGATGGTGGGACTTGGAGGGTGAGAAATTAGATCAAGAAGGTCTGACTGGGATTTCTAGCAGCCTTGATGAGAGCACATAGATAATTGTAGGTAGTGCTGTACTATTATATTATTAACCATGATCCCAGGTACATTTTGCTTCTGTACATTCATTCATCCATTTATTCATATTTAGTTACTCTGAGGAGCTACAACTATGGCTGGAAAGCCCTTATTTCATTATGATGAGGCCCGGGGTAGAATGGAGTCTGTCCGGTGGCTCTTGGCTGCAGCTGGGGTAGAGGTAAGTTTTGAGACGGTTCGTCTTCAGATGAATCTACAACTGACTGTGTCAACTGCCATCCTCACGTCAGTCAGGATGTGTTTCCTATTGTTTAACCTTGAAAGAACTGTGACCTGGAAGAATTGTGTGCTGGTATTAAGGCACACTTGTAATCCCAAAAGTCTAGGCTTGTGGGTTCCAAGTTCAATGAAGAGACAAAATATATTGTATCTGACATTTGGACTAGGTAAGAGGAAATTTGAGAGGACACTGCTCGGCACATCCTAAGGGCCCCAAGGAACAACCATATACTATTGTAGTGTTTATCTTTTTGTAGCAAAAGAATTAATATATAGCATTTTAGCAAATGAAAGAAAAGTGAAATACAACCCACACAACTGACAGGTGTCAGGAGTAGAAACCCACAGCCTGCTTGTTCAGGGTGGGGTGAGCGCATGAGAGGTTATTTTCTTGACCACCTAGTAAGTGCCAGGGCCTTTTAAGTTTCAAGGATACACAATGAGGAAGACAGTCAGCTCTGTCCTCAAGCATCCTACACATCTGTGGGAATAAAAAAAAGAGGTGTCCCATTATTGTTTGTGAGAGGGTCTTGTTTTATAGCTCTCACTCAGTTTGTAGCATGCTTTACCTGATGTTTAAGAGGCACAGACGCTTTACTGTATGACCCTGTTGAGTGCTGTCCTCTAGAGGCTACTTTGAGTAAAACACTTCTCGATCAGATGCCTGTAATCTGTGCAGGATTTCCTCTGATGGAAATCACAGATTCTGCCCTTGGATAGAAGCTGGGAAGAATGGTTAAGGAATAAGGCAGTGTCCTGTGAGGGAGATCTACAATGCTCTTCCAGACTCCTGACCCTGAGGATCGCACTTCACCCTTGTTCCTGGCATGAATGGGACTTTAGCTTTGATGCTTTCCAGTTTCAAAGGAAGCAGCCGGCAGATATAAACAGCGCCTTTCCACCTTGTGTTTTTTGTATGAGGAATCTGCTTTCCCAGCACGCAGACCATCTGGGTCCTGTGTGTCCCAAGAATGATTTATAACAGGCCCATCCCTCCCAGTGTTCCCAGCATAACCATTAAACCCACCAATCCCATCCAACCTTAGTGAGCTTCTTACTGCTCTTCCCCTATATACACTATGTGTTTCCTGAGGGAATATTTGGTTAACTGGTGACATTCACCACTTCACCGTCTCTGTCATCTAATGCAGTGTGACAGTGTGATCTGCAATCACACATCCCAGCGAGCAGCCAGAGATGAAAATATTCCTGTCCATCACTACTTAGAACTGAAATAAATCATCAGAGCCTCTGGAACTAGAACTAATATTTATTGTCGGTTGTGATGTGGGTCAAGCCCTGCACTGTGTATTTTGAAAACTCTCCACCCAGCTAGGTGTAGTGGAGTGTGCTTATGACCCCAGCTACTCAGGAGGCTGAAGTAGCCAGAGAATTGCTTGAGCCACATAGTGAGACTTTTTCACATTAAAAAAAATCAATAGATGAATACTAAACAATCTCCATATTGAAAATGAAGAAAAGAAGTGCTGTGAGATCTTAAACGCTTGTGCTCAAATCACACAGCTGCTTCTGAGTTAAGCCTAGATCATAAATCGTGAGCATCAAAATGCATAAATACTCGTAAGATCCCCCAGTTGAGACTCCTTCAGGTAACTGGGCTGTGTCACCTTGACAGCTAAAGGTAACTAGGACAGAGACTGTTGTTCTATGTCTTATCTTGTGCTGCAGCCCCAGTGATCCCACGTGGAGATGCAGACCCCTGCAATGTTACACTCATCATTAGGAGACCTTCTCAGACTTCCCCTATGAGACCCCCCCTCCCAGATGGTGAAGTTGCCATAGTCTTGGTGGGGAGCAGGGTGGAAGGGAAATGTATTGGCATTTTGGGCTGGATGGGGATGGAACAAGATGGAACAGGAGTGGGTCAGATATTCTGGCACTCGGGAGTCACAGAATACTCAGTGTTACACAGCTCAGGTGGAAAGGTATCCTGGAGCTCGGGAGCCAAGGACTACCACCGGTTGCAGTAAGCTTAGCTGCTTACAGCCTTGCCTCAGAGAAAGGTTTCCCCAGTGTATCAGCTCCTCTCTGATCTTCCAGCTGGGGATTTTCACCTAGTGTAGCAGTTTTGCTCGGCAGGAGGTTTCTTGGGCGAAGTTGCTACAGTTCAGCTCTGCTTCCGGAGAGCTGAGAGCTGAGAGCAGATAGGGGGAGAGGAGTGTAACAACTCTGCTCTGCCAAGGGAAGGTTTCCCAGGCAAGTGTTGCAGCCCTGATCGCTCTGCTCTGCTCTGCCCAGGGTCTCCTCTGCTCCATCGCCACTGCAAAAGATCTTCACCCAAAGCTCATTGAAGGGGTTTATTGGGAGGGAAGGATCCAGGAGAGTGGCTGCCCTCTGCCGGACAGCCCGGTAGCACGAACAGACACAAGCTGAACAGACACAGGGTTTATATAGGGCTTCCAGGGTGGGGATTGGTCAGATTTTAGTGCTGAGCTCAGATTGGCTAGAGCTTTGCTCAGGTATTGGTTAGTTTTTTGCACAGCATTAGGGTCAGATTTGGCTCTGTTTTCAGAGTCAAAGTGTGTTTCTTTCTCTGGTCCTTTTTAGCCTTTTGGCTCCAATTTTAGGGCTGACTCTGATTCCAGGGACAATGTGTGTTCCTTTGGCACTGGTTTCAGGGTCAGGGTACATTTCTTTAGTTCTGGTTGCAGGGCCAAAGTGTGTTTCTTTGGCTCTGCTCAGGGTGTGTTTCTTTGACTGGCCCCTTTTCCCTACAAAATGATCTTCAGGATGAGCAGCTACACAGCTGTGAGTTGTGCTCCCTTCTGGACAGGTCAGACACCAGCTCCAAACAGCTGTAAGCAGGTTGTTACTTAAACTGCCAAACCCCAGAGTGCTACCTCCCTTATACCATGTATGGAAGAGAATGTACTCAACTCAAGGGTCCTATAAAAGTAAAGAAAAACTAACAACTCCTTGTGGTTTCTGCCTTCTAGTATGAAGAGAAATTTTTGCAAACCAATGAGGACTTGGAGAAGTTAAGAAGTGGTAAGCCCAAGTTCCCAAAGACCCCAGACAGGGGTGTCTTCAAGATAGGTTAGATTCCAGGTCATATGGTGTGTTTACAGGAGTGTCCCAGGGATGGCAGAGAAGTGTGAGTAGGAAAACAAGAAGAAGGAGGGTTCTTTGGGAAGACTTGAGACTTAACTTTAAAAAGGGCTGCCTTCTAAGTATTTGCTAATGAAACATCCCCAGTGCCTGCCCCTCACTTTCCCCTTCTTCCACCACTTTTCCTGAAATACACAGAGCTCAGAGCCCCCCACACTCCTCACTTGCTGCATTAGGGTTGAGAAAAGGAGCAGGCCCAGCACTCACCTGAGTTCTTCAGTCTGATGACTCGACCAAGCGATTCCCTGATGGTCCTTAAGGATCTCCAGTGAGAAGGTCCTAAAGAATTGAAAGTTGTGACTGCATGTGAGGAGCTAAAGAAACAGGCATGGTTAGCAGTCATGGGTCCAGGCACTCTTGCCTTCCTGGGACCCACTGCCTGCTGCCATGATTAGAAGAGCACACAAGAACCCTACATAGAAATTGTTCTGTGGGGCTGGAGACACTGCTCAGTGGTTAAGAACGCCGTCTCTTCTAAAAGACCCAGGTTCAGATCCCAGGAACCATCCAGTGCCCTACTCTGACCTGTGAGGACACCAGGCACATAAGTGGTACACAGACATGCATGCAGGCAAAACACCCATGTACATTAAATAAATACAAATAAGTTTTTTTTAAAAAAAGCGATTGTTCTGTGGACCAACCTTGCTATAACTTGATCTCCTTGTTGCAGTCTCTCCCACTTTCCTATAATGGCTAAGAGCAGAAGTCAACATGAAGAAACAAAAGTTCCCTAGCATATGTCTGGATGGGTAACAAAGACAGAAGTGAATTAGCAAGCTACTGAGCAACACCAGGGAGGGGGTGGAGAACTATGGGACACTTCCTTAGAAACAGTAAGGTACCAGGCTATAATGTATTTCCTCTTGTACTTTTAGTCACTTGAGGGCTTTTTATTCTGCCAGCATATGCATAATCCACAGTTTTTTGTTTTAAAACTCTTTCTATTCTTTTTTCTTTTTCCAAAAGATGGAGTTTTGATGTTCCAGCAAGTGCCCATGGTGGAGGTGGACGGAATGAGGCTGGTGCAGACCAGAGCCATTCTCAACTATTTTTCCAGCAAATACAACCTCTATGGGAAGGACATGAAGGAGAGAGCCCTGTACAGTATATTTCTATTTCATTATGAGTGGATAGCATAAGAAGGTTTTAAGTCCTTCATTGAATGATCAGATCTCGGGCAAGGGATTATGGCCACCAGGAGACTTGCCTTGGTATTTATACTGGGTTGAAGATGGCAGAATCCTGTGGAGATGAGGGATGAATAACATTGGGGCAGATCTTGGTGACAGTAACAGTAACCAAGGATGTGATGGTAACAATAACCAAGGATGTTCTTAGATATAACACAGGAATAGAGACTTGAGAACTTTTGTCATCTTTGAATTCGGGGAAACAGTGGAATCATTGTTCCAGTGCTCAGGCTTTTCAGGAGCTGGATGCTCGTAGCATGAGCTGTAGACATGAAAGGCTGACACTGGAAGGATTTCATCTGCCAACTTTGAGTTTCCAGAGATGATCATGGTCAGGGCCAGGGAATTAAGCTACACGTGTGTTCCTTGTAGATTTCTCTAAGAAACCTGTAACACCAAAAGTAAAAGACCCAGAGACTGGTATAGTGGTTCAAGCTTCAAGCTGAAGATCAGAAAAGCAAAGCAGCCGGCCACTCGCTCTTACCTCTACCTCAGCTCAGACCAAAGGGGCGAGCCTCATACTGCTCCCAACTTCACTGCTCCTCAGATTCACTCAGACTGCTATGCTCTCCTCGACAGAGCTGGAGACTAATACTGAAACTTACCACTGAAGGCTCTGCTCCTGGCTTTTATATCTCTCTAGTTCTGGGGTTAAAGGTGTGAGCTCTGTTACTCTTTTAGACTGATTCAGTCCCGAGTAGCCCTGAGTGGTCTTGAATTCAGAAACATCCATCTGCCTTTGTCTCCTGAGTCCTGGGGTTAAAGGTATATGCCACTACTGTCTGATCTCTACAGCTTGAGACTGACTTTGCTTTCTGAATCCTCAGGCAAGCTTTAATAAATCATAAGTAATATATCACCACAGAAACCAACGTTAATAGTAAAAGTCGTAGCTAATATCTGGCATATACCAGGAGGAAGGGGCAGGAGGTGTGGTTAGTACCCTCTGATGTTCTGTTCTCTAAGTTTTTCGTGCTGAGTATGTCAGGCAAGACACATTGGACAATTGTGGTGTGTTTGTCTTTCAGGATTGATATGTATTCGGAAGGTTTGGCAGATTTGAATGAGTTGTTTATTGTCTACCCATATGACCCACCTGGGGTCAAAGAAGCAAAAATTGCCCAGATGAAAGAGAAAGCGAAAAACCGTTACTTTCCTGCCTTTGAAAAGGTTTGTAGAAGCTGCTTGGACTTGAGGATCAATAATGCAGGTGGGGACGTGGTGCCATATACCTGTCATTCCAGTACCCTGAAGGCTGGGACAGGAGGACAAATTCTATGCACTGGGAGTTGTGCAACCGTTGTTAATTTGTAACAATTCTGGAGACTGGAGAGGAGATCAAAGTACTGGCAGATGCAGTTACTAACCCGAAGGTCAGATTCATATTTCATGGGTAGCCAACTTCTAGAAGTGTCCTCACAGAGTCAATGGGTTAAGGAACCCTCCACATGCTTTTTGTAAGGGCACTGGCGCCATTCTTCAGGCTCTCCTGCCCATTTACTAATTTGAACCCAGGGTCCCAGTCTACTAACAGATGATGCTGAGAGGGTCTCAACAGGAAGAAGCAGGAGTCCCAGCCTGGCCCTGTGTGTCCAGCATGTGTTCCCTTGAATTCTCCAGGTATTAAAGAGCCATGGACAGGACTTCCTTGTTGGCAACAAGCTAAGCAAGGCTGACATTCACCTGGTTGAGATGATCTACAACATGGAAGAGCTGGACGCCAACATTATAGCCAACTTCCCTCTGCTTCAGGTGAGCTGTCTCACACCTCCCATCAGGAGTCTCAAGTTTAGGTAGTTTTGATCTCCAGCCTTCTTCAGGCCTGCACTCTTATCCCTCGGCCTCCAAAATGAACTTCTAGACATTTGTTCTAAGGCTTAAAGATAAACTTGTCTCTAAGAAACCCAGTTGGGTGTTACCCCAAAGGACCCAGCACCTCTGCCCCATCCTCTTCTCCCGCCAGCGTCTCTTTTCTTGCTCTCTTGGATGCTCAGCATCCTAGGTGAAACTTTGTCTTTGCAGAGTCCATCAGGGCTGGTCTCTGGCCATCTGATCTCCTACCCTCAGCTTTCACCCCACTGTCAAACATTGATTTCCCTCCTGTGTAGAGAAACACACATACACACACACACACACACACACTCTTCCATCAAAAACTGTCTTTACCTCAGCGTAAAAGTTGATTATGGTTGACATTTGATTGGCTCTAATATTCATATTCTCTTTTTCTTTCCAAAGAAATGGGTTCCATTAGGATTATCCCTACCGCCCAGTTCATCTTCTCTCCTGCCTCTGACTAGACCCCTTCCCCTCCTGAAACAGTCTCACTTTTTGCTTTCATTAATATATATTCCACTACTGATTTGTCCTCCCCTTCCTTTTAAGCCTACCCCCATAATACCTTTTCGACATTCATGTCACATATATATACACTTATATATATACACATTTAAATCTAGCTTCCATATGTGAGTGAAACATGTTATTTTGTCTCCTTCAGTCTAGTTTATTTTGCTTAACATAATGAGTTCCATTCATTCTCCTACAAGTGTCATAATTTCATCCGTTATGATTGAATAAAATTCCACTAGTGCTGTACCAGGTTGTTATAGTACATTTATTGATTTGTATGTGTTGAAGCAACTTTGCATCTCTAGAAAGAAATGGAGTGTATGATCTTAACATGTCTTCAAATTAGATTTGAAATTGACATTTAAAAAACACAACGAAAGAGCATTTCTTTTTTTTTTTCACTAAGACTTTCCTAGAGGACATAACTCTAACTTTCTCACCACTCCCACCCCGCACCCCACCCTGCACCCCACCCCACACCCCACCCTGCACCCCACCCCCCACAAAGAGTTAGTGTACTTGAATGCTATGAAGCAGATATGAGCAGCTTCAGTGACTGGAATCTTGAGTGACAAAAAACCACTTTCTATTTAAATTATAAAATAAGTATTAAAATGAAGGAAGGAAGGAAGGAAGGAAGGAAGGAAGGAAGGAAGGAAGGAAGGAAGGGCAAGCAAATGGACAATGGTGGTTTCAGATTAAAAAGATAATTTACATTTCATGTAATACATCCGATCTTAGATAGACCAACAAAATAGAAACAGGATAGCTATCATATACAATATTCACCACAGCATGCTGAATGCATCTATTCCAACCCCTTGTCCAACTCTTAACTCTTCCAACTCAACCTGTTGGGCCTGCCAATGGAGGAGAATCTAGATATTCTCTTTGATTCAGTCTTTGTTATGAAACTGGAATGTCTGCCCATAGGTTCAACACACAAGGCAGTTGTGATCTGCCAGAATGACTGACTGCTATCATATGTGTGGAGGGACTGTTGGGATTCATTCATTCAGATATTCTTCATTCATTTACAAACACCTCCCATGCACTGTGGTCAATATAAGTCCTGCACTCTGGCCTCTTGGCAAGCTGTACCAGCAAATGGTGTGAGGCATCCCACCAAATGCCTTGTGTTGTAGCTGTCATCAACTTTTACTGACAAGTTTTATGTCTGTGTTTATTAAGAAACTGTACTACAGGAGTTTTGGGTAGTTTCATTCATTTGCTTGTTTGGTTTTTGGTGTTGTCCATAGTCTGGCTTTGATGCAGGTATAGCAGTCTAAATGACAGTGTCTCCCATTGGCTCAGATACCTGAACAATGTATTCCCAGTTGGTGACATTATTTGAGGGGAGGTTTAAGAAGTGTGACCTTACTGGAGGAAGTGTGTCACGAGGAAGGGGCCTGTGGGCTTCTGTAGTCCCATCCTACACCTACTTTGCTCTCTTCCTTCTTGGGGTTGAAGATGTGGGCTCGCAGCTTCCTGCTTCTGCCAGCAAACCTGCCATCTTGTGCATGCGTCCATCCACAATAGGCTCCTGTGGTTCTGGAACCATGAGCCAAACAATGTTTCTTGAATGTTTCTGAAAAGCATTAGTGTTAGGTCATCTATAAAGTCTTGCTGGAATTCATCAGTGGTATGCATACAGTCCTGGAATTGCTTTGTTCTTAATGATCATTACAATTTTATTAGAATCCTTGGTATTATCCCTGTTTTCATCTCTAATGCTGTTGATTTGAAACTTCTCTTTATCTTTTGGTTCTATTTGTTAGAAGTTTTCACTTATGTTCATTTTTTAAATCAACTCTGTACTTGATAAAGTTTATGAGTATTGATTATTTATTTGGTTGTTCTGAGATGGGATTTCAAATACCTAAGAGTAGCCTCTAACCTACTATGTAGCTAGAGATAACCCTTCAATTTCATACCTTCCTACCACCACCTTCCAAGTGCTGGGATTGCAGGTATGTGCTGGTGTACTTCCTTTATTCAGTTTTAGGGATTGAATCATCAAACTTTGTACAGGCTAAACAAGCACAGCCAACTGACCTAAATTCCCAGCCTATGTATTTATTATTCTCTTAATTTGTATTTAATTCACTTATGCACTGATATTTCTTGCCTCCTACTGCTTTTGAGCTTAGCTTGCCCTAGTTTTTCTAAGACCTTAAGGTGCATCATTAGGTAGTTTATTTGAGAGCTCTCTGACTTGTTAATGGATGCACTGGTAGCAGTAACTCTCCTCCTAAAACTACCTTGGCTCTATCACAAATGTTCTGTTAAGTTGTGTTTTCATTCGGCTTTGATCTAGAAGATTTCCAGTTTCCTCCATGTTATCTTTGGTGAAACTCTTCCAACCCCAAGTATTTGTTTACTTCCTTTAATTTCTCCTGGGACATTATCATATCAGATGACACAATAAACTATTTGGTTTTTTATTTGCTAATATTTACTCAGTATTTCCTATCGTCCGTTCTCATACTCCTCTGAGTTGATGTATGACACCCTGGTTTTGTTCCTTGCATTCTACCAGAGTCATGAACCTCAAAGGGTAAGATGCAAGGAAGATAATAAGGATGACTGAACTCAGTACAACCTTGACAAATCTTCATGCAAGGTGCCAGTGAGCTGTTGTCTGTCTCTTAGTCTTATTTCCCTTGCCCTTGCCTATCTGTAGCTGTGACACTCAAACTGGTGGAGGAACTCAGATTTCCTAGGCTGTGCGACAAGCTGCCTTTCTCCTTGGGCTCCCCCATAAGGCTATGGATTTTTTTTAACCACAGGCTCTGAAAACCCGAATCAGTGACATGCCCAACATAAAGAAGTTTCTGCAGCCTGGCAGCCGGAGGCAGCCTCCTGTTGATGAGAAAACTGTACTAAAAGCAAGGAAGATTTTCAAGTTCTAATGAAGTGACATAGATCCTGAAGACTGTGAGACAGTGAGCCTTCTCACTTATGTGTATTAATGAAATATGGGCTCCCATATTGACACAATTTAATGGAAACTCTCTTATTAGGATATGCTGGTGGATTGGTTTTCTGATATCCTGGCTTAACCATTTCCTGTAGTAAAAATGAAAATTTTAATAAAAAATGAAGATTATGTGGTTTGTTTTATAGTCACAGCATCTTTCATATCATCTATCAAAGAGTCAAATTTAGAAATTTCACCTGATGTTCTTAGGTTTGCACAGTCATGGCTGTAATTCTGGAGTAATATCCCAAGTGACAATTATCATTATTATTATTATTAACTTATTTTTATTTTATTTTACTTAATTTATTCATTTTTAAGGCAGTATCTCACTTTGTAATCTTTGCAGTACTGGAACTCTCCATGGAGACCAGGCTGGCCTCAAATTCACAGAGAACTGCCCATGTCCATGTAGGTTTGTCTTCCCTGTGTTAATTGTGGAAGCACAGACCACCATGGTGGCACCGTTCCCTGGGTTTGGGCTGTAGGGTGTGTTTAAGAGCGGAGACGATGGGCTGGGTGGTAAACATAGGTGGGATCCTGCTCTGTCTGCTCTTGACAGTGGACATGGGCAGCTGCTTCACGCTCTCGTGTGAGGACATCCTCACTGTGATGAACTATAACCTGCAATTGTGAACCAAACAAACTGCTTCTCAATTAAAGTTGCTTTTCTCATGGCATGTTGTCACAGCCACAGTCAACAGAACTAAAATATGATCTTATAAGAAAAGTTTTACAACAGGGCATCACCTTCCTGTCTGCTGTTAGTCTCCACATGCTGGCTTTATGCATCTGACTCATAAAAATATAACAGGACATTCCTTCAAAAATCCATTCCCCTATAGTTTGCTAAAACAGTCTACCTGAATTTTTTTATTTATGTTTTTTTAATTTAAATTAGAAACATGCATGCTCCCCCTTCTCCCTCCACCAGCCCCACCCCCACCCCCCACCCCCAGCCCAATCCCCACATTATTCCCCAGGGAGGGTGAGGCCCTCCTTGGGAGGATCTCCAGAGTCTGTCATTTCATCCAGGGCAGGACCTAGGCCCTTCCCCATGTGTCCAGGCTGAGAGAGCATCCCTCCATGTGGAATGTGCTCCCAAAATTCATTTGTATGCAATGGTGAATACTAGTCTACTACCCAAGGCCCAAGAGATTTCTGAGGCCTCCTCACTGACACTACATTCATGGAGTCTGGATCATTCCCCTGTTGGCCTCTTAGTCATCAGTCTGGTGTTCAAGAACTCCCCCTTGTCCAGTCAGCTGTCTTTGTCCTACCTGAAATTTTGAAAAGGAATAATTAAACCAGTTGCTTTGTGGAAATATCTGGCATCCCTCTTCTAATGTGGTATAGAAATTTGTGAACCCCTGAAATCTGTGGGAGTGGCTTTTCCCTGATTGGGCTCTGGCTCCTTTGGTAGGGAGGAGTTATTCAAATGAGCCAATGTTTTATAAAAAAACAACCTGAACATCCTAGTCAACCGTAATATAAGAAGACAGCCTTTTACAAGTTCTCTCAGTCTCTACCCCACTTCCTGACATCCCAAAGAAGATTAAAAATGCATAATTTAGACATTTTTAATAGTTTGAGTTTAAAAGAGGTCCCTGACACAGGTGAATTCTGTTGCTCCCAGAAGTCGTATGTTACTATAATTCCCAATGCCAAAGGTAGAATATTTCCCTAGGAGTTCTTGGTCAGGGAGATCAATAGGCCTCCAAAGCAATGAACCCTATTGCCACTGCTTTTTGGTAGCCTACCAGTACTAGATGCTAAGATGCTATTTCTGAAGATACCTCATGCGTTGGCCACTGGACATAGGGGAGTTAAGGTGAAAGGTACCTAGAGGCTTCCTCCTTTCTGGCTAGCTTTCACAGCACAGACCAGTGCTAGGTAGACTAAAGCCAGACAAAAGGTATCAAAGACTTTACCCAGCTGTGTACTTGCTTGCTACACAACCCATCCCATATGCCAGGAAAGTTGTGCCACTGGTCAGCAGTGGCCTGACTATTACAGGGGCAACCAACTGCATTTGAAGCCCACTCTAAAGGAGACAGTTCATGTCTGGCTCCTGTAAAACATGGACTGTGAAAGTTGTAGGTGTAAGTGACGCAAGCTACTACTGTTTTGGTAAATGAATTTGTAGTTATCAATCATTTTCTCAATATTTGCTTGTGCCTTAGATGAGTACATCTTGGACTCGGTCAGAGATGCTTCATTTTGTAGCACACATCGATCATTGTGGAGACTCAGTTCATTTTTCCAATATCTATGCCTTAGTGTTTCCATGTCTACTGACTGTGAAGAGCCCAGTTTTTATTGAGTCTGTGTAAACTGAAAGTGGTCTCTGAGATATTACAGATCTAATATCACCTACTATGCAATGTTTCTATTTAGTCATTCTCAAGAAGAAGGCTATACATCTGGGTGACCTCTTATGCATTGAGCACTGCTGGTCTAAGCTTTAGATAACCAGTGGGACTGTAATACAGCTGTGTGCAACATACCGTACTTACCCTGGAAAACCTACCCTCTGAGACCTCACAACCCACTGGGGACATAAAAGAGCGTAAAACAGATCTAATACTGAGCTTGGGTCCTGGGGAAGCAGGGCACTCCCATTTGCTGAGACATTGTTAGGTATCATGTCTATTAACCTCTAGAGACCTTCAGAAAACAAATATCTCTCTTTATTTTCAAGAAAGAATATATAGATCTGAGTTTTATTAACTTTGTTAGATTTGCACAGCTCCTCATACTAAAAGTTGGGGGTTATCTATAAAATCTGCCTTCACTCTGGCAAGAAACAAGGTACCTTCAAAACCAGAATGCCTTGAACTTCCAGATAGAATTGATATAGGTCACACTGATTTCAAAACAAGCCCGTTGTCTTATACAGATAAATGCATGCCCTCGATTCAAACATATTTTTTTTGGTTGTTAAAGTAAGCCCAAAGATGAAGTTTACTAGTCTTCTATTCTCATAAAAAACAAATGCTGCTCCTGGAATAGAGACTGCAATGCACAGGGTGTGGTGGTAACACACCTTTAATCTTAGCATTGCAGAGGCAGAAGTAAGTGGATATCTGTAAGCTCAAGGTCGGCCTGTCCTGTATAGTGATTTCTGAGCCAGTCAGGGCTACATAGTGAGATCCTGTCTCAAAAAAAATTAAATTTGAAGCAACAATAATAAAAAGGAGCATGTGAATAAAGATGAATGTGACATCTTTAGCCCCCACAGGGTCTCTGAGTTGTTTGTCAGCTGACAGCCACAGGTGCATTTTGTTTTCTAGTCCTGGCTTACTGCCCCCGCATTGCCCCACTGACATCAACATCTGGCAGGAGGAAAACACGATCTCTTCCACCTGGGGTTTTTCTACTGTGTTGTAAGACTATATATAAGATTGCTCCCTCCTACAAGAGAGAAACCTCTTAGCACTTGCAAAATAAAGACACTTCTTAGTACAAACAGCTGGACATCTGGTCTTTTCCTGATACCTCGGAGTTGCGTGTGGTGCGGGTGCTATAGTTTTCAGAGAACTAGGAAGAGAGGAGAAGCTGACCTGAAGCCAGGGCCAAGCAGGTGTCCAACACTCACTGTGTATATGGGTGAGAAGGTTCTATCTGAGCCTTGAGCACTCCTCAGTAAATGGAATCCAAGTGCCTGTTCTTAGGGTGGTGATTACAAGGAGGACAGCCTTTCTGTACTGAGTATGTGTGAGAAACATGGGTGAGACCCCCTATCAATTGATCTCCCCTCATTTCCTTTTCTATTAACCCAGGAAGCTAGATGCTTACGTTTCCCTGAGTCATAAGCCAGGTTTGGGATCCTCATACTTATAAGTAGCAGAAAGTGGCTTTAATAAAGTACGCTGGATAAAATATTACGTAAGGGAGACCCATTCCCTTTGTAACATGGCCCTCAGCTACTAACAACAAAGAGCTAGTGATGTCTCCGCTTTAGGTCCTAACACTTCACACACCTCAGTGGTTACCATCAGCTTCACCCTCTCTTGCCTTCCGCTGGACTTTGCTGTTATGTTTCTCTGGCCAGAAAGAACAGTGTAGGGTCATGGTCACACATCTTTGGTTTTAGAAATCCCTCCTGGCTATGTAGAAAAATATTTTACCAAAAAAAAACTGCCTTTCAAGCATGGTCTCACAGCAGTCGTAGTTGCCCGCACTGCACTGGAACAAAACTTGGCCTGTCAACAGCTAATCTTGCTTTAGGGAAGGGACTCAAGGGGCAGAACTCTTAGCAAGAAATGGATTCTGGAGGAGGGACGGTATTTGTCTTCTGTTGTGTATGAAACCCATAACGGTGAACACACCAGGCTCCATTGGACATTTCCAAACCCATAGCATACTGCTGGTCCTGGATAAAACCAGTGGCTCACAAAACCAAACAAAAGGGCGCAAGTGTGGAGATGGACTTGGGAGAGGAGGGGGAGATGGACTTGTGGGAGGAGGGGATGGACTTGGGGGAGGGGGAGATGGACTTGTGGGAGGAGGGGATGGACTTGTGAGGGGAGATGGACTTGAGGGAGGGGGAGATGGGAAGATGATGGGAATGGAAACAATGAGAGCAGGCAATGCATTTTGCACATGTATAAAATTTCCAAATAATAAATTAAATGGATTTAAAAGAGATCAGACAATCATAAAAATTATAGCTACATGCAATGTAACTTTGCAAGAAAATTTCTGGATGTTTTCTAAGCACAGTTTGTACTTTGGGACGTTATGTAACAGTTTGGGGGGGTTGTGAAACCATCTGTAACTGAGTCCAGGCCTTGAGAATGCTGCTTCCAATAAATCTTTCCCTGTGTTTCTATTCAAGCCACAAGTGTCACTGAAGCCATTAAGTTTCCCTGTCTGGTTCTTTGCTCTGTCCCACTTTCCACACTGCTAAGACAGAAAGAACAACATCTATCAGGTGTTGACTGGACTCAATCAAGATGTTCCTATCCTTTAAGAAGTCCTCAAAGCACACATCCATTTGTATACCACACTGTTGCTGTTGTTTTAAAATCTAGAAAAACTAGTTTTGTAGGGGCTAGGCAGTTAAGATCAGTGGCTGCACTTCCAGAGGACCCAGCAAGCATGCATGACCACGAAGATCTGTATCT